GCCAACATGGTACGCCTGGGGTTCCGAGGCCAGCACAGCATGCAGTACTGGGGATCATATTCAGATCCTTGCACTTGCCAGGCAAGCACTTAGCACACTTAGCTATCTCTCCAGCCCCAATTCAGGTAATTCTTAAAAACTATTGGTCAGACATGGTGGTGCATGCCTATAATTGCAGCGCTCCAGAGGCTGAGACTGGAGGATCATTGTCATTTAAAGGCCAGTCTGAACTGCATAGCAAGACACTGTAGGGGTTTTTTGGTTTTTGGTTTTTGGCTTTTTTTTTTTTTTTTTTTTTTCAGAGCCAGGGATTGAACTCAGGCCCTTGCACTTGCCAGGCAAGCACTTATTCTACTGTGCTATCTCTCCAGGCCCCCCTGTAGGTATTTTTTAAAACCCATAAACTATTATATTTGGTTCCCCTGATTTAATATTCCTGTCTGTCTGTGTCTGTCTCTCTCTCTCTCTCTCTCTCTCTCTCTCTCTCTCTCTCTGTTGTTGTTCACTTTTCTGTTTCCGTTGATGAGTCTGACAGTTCTTGAGAGTCTGAAAACTAAAAGTTACTTTACTGGGAAATTTTACAAATTTGTATATAGTTTTCTAGATTTTCTGGATTCCTGACTTTTATCCAGTGCTTTTAGCTAATCATTTGATTGGTTGCTTGCTTGCTTTGTGAGGTAAGGTCTTACCAAGCAGTCCAGGCTTGACCTTGAACTCACCTGTGTAGCTCAAATTCTCCCATCTGTTTGCCCATGGAGTGCTGGGATCACAGGTTGCACCACTACACCCAGCTAACCTCATATTCTTGCCTTTGGAAAATCACTTCATTTCTGTGAGTCTGCATTGCAAAGCAAAGTGATCAATAGGTGTAGAAAGTACCAGTGGAAAGCATGACATGTGGGATCGGCCTGTCATTGTAGCGTTCCTGAGCTTAGTGTTCATTTGAGCCCTTGCTCATCAAGTTCCCCTTCAGTCTTCTTTCAAGATGCTTCCAAATACCTCTCTGTAGTACTGTTGTAGTCTGTTGAGCCTGGCGTGCCTTTTCATATGTGTTTGTGCTCTGTGTGCTTATCTCAGCAACTCCCTGTTCCTTATAGTATTCCAGGGTGATCTAGGGAATCTCACCTACCTGTACTAAATGATTGTTTGGGTTTACTGATTAAACATTATAACTGAGACACCTTTTACAACCACAGATGTGTCCTGTTTTATTGTACTGGATTCTGGGTCTAGGTTGCACTGGCTTCAAGTAGATTGATGTTCTGACTCAGTGTGGAAGTTTTTTTTTTTTTTTAAAGATTTATTTATTTATTTATTATTTATTTATTTAGTGTGTGTGTGGCCAGCTCAGCCCACCAGGGGGCAGGGCTGGCTGGCATGTGGTGCTGGGGGATTGAACCAAGGTCCCAGTGTTTTGCTTAGCTTAGCTTGTTGTAAGTAGGTGCCTTAGACCACTGAGCCATCTCACCAGCCCCATCAGTGTGGAAGTTTTTGTACTTCCCCTTAGTCCTAAACAGAGAACACTCATTTAAGAGCAAGGTATGGGGGGGAAAATCCCCCATCCCCCCCCCCCCCCGTCCCTCTCTCAGGACAGGAGCTTTCTTTCTCTCAATAAATATATTCTGCTCATAAAAAAAAAGAGCAAGGTATGAGTTTAGGAATTCAATTTTTCTTTCCTGATTCCATTTCTCTCCCTTCCCCCACTGTTTTTTGGCTTTGATAGCTTCTTTCTTCTTTATCCATGGAAGATGCTACAGAAACAACTCAGAACAGCTTGGAAGAGGAAACTGCAGAGACCAGAGGTAAAGATTCAGAATCTATCATTGAAAAAGAAAAAGAAGAGGACCATCCCTGTACCGCCAACTCTGAAATGCAGCAGATCCTTGCACGGGTTCGCCAGAACTTCGGCAAAATCAATGTCGTGCCCCAGTTTTCTGGGGATGACCTGGTTCCCGTGGAGGTGTCAGACATCGAAGATGAGCTGGAAAGCTTTTCTGCTGATGAGGAGGCACAGGAGCAGGAGCAGCCAGAAGATGATGACAAGGAAGAGGCTGATCCAGAGTCCCAGGAAGAACAAGTAGGAAATGACACTAAAGCAGTGATTAAAGCCCTAGATGAGAAGATTGCAAAATACCAAAAGTTTTTAAACAAAGCTAAAGCTAAAAAGTTTTCAGCAGTCAGGTAATACTCTTATCATCTTACACATTATAGTTTGTAAATTTGTAATCTGTACATTTACCTTTTTTTTTTTTTTTAAATGTATTTGGTACTGGGTCTCATTACACAGCTCAGACTTAGGAGTGATCCTCCTGTTTTCATTCCCTGTGGTGCTGGGATTACAGGCGTGCAACATTGTGCCCATCTTGGTAACTGGCTCAGTGTGCCCAGGGACAAGGCCGGCACCGCTGTAGTGCTGGGGATTGAACCCCGGTCCCTGCGCTTGCCTAGGCAGGCACTTAGTCCACTGAGCTATATCACCAGCCCTTACCATGTGTTGATACCTGGAATATGAAATGTTTAATTGTAAGTATTTTAGAATTGGCTCAGAAGCTATAAAAACTGTTGGATGTTGACTGTTTCCTTTAATGGTAACTAAACAGGAGTAGAGTGCCTGTCTTTGAACCTGTAGGAGATCTCCTAAGTCATCCTGACTGATACAGTCAAGAGTGATGTTGGGCTGCTTCATTACTTTTTCTTTCTTTTTTTTGATGTCAGGGATCAAACTCAGGACCTTGCATTTGCCAGAAAGATACTTACACTGCTGAGCTATCTCCTGAGCCCTACTTTGCTTTTTCTGTTGCAGAATACCCAAGGGGTTAAGTGAGAAGGTTTTTACAAAATCCGAAGAACGAACAAAACCTCCTAAAGAAGAAGTAGATAAAACAGGTACATATATTTAAATCATTTAGATGTGGTTTACATCTTCCAAATTTGAGGAGACTTTCTGGCTTCTTTCATGTGTTGTCATCCACACAAATATTTACATCTGGTGGTTCCCCTGGCTCCCTGTACTATATATCACACAAACTAGGTTATCTACTTCTTATAGTGCACATTCAGAAATCTGTTAAAAATGATCTTAGCATCCTTAGAATCTAAGGATGAGTGCACAGCTTGGGGCAGAGGCATTCTATATGTTCATCATTTACTGCTTTTTTTTTTTTTTTTTTTTTGCGGAACCGGGGATTGAACTCAGGCCCTTGCGCTTGCCAAGGAAGCGCTTATTCCACTGAGCCATCTCCCCAGCCCCCTGGTTTACTGCTTTTGACTGACAGCTCCCACATCAGGGTATTTGTGTGACACAAATACAAACCCTGCCAGGGCCTACATGGTCTGTTCTGACCTGATGCCTTCCCTACTTTCCTCCCTGTTTTGCTCACTCACTCTTATCTATACATGGCTTCCTCTCTTTTTGACAAGCTTGTCCCCTCCATAAGGTTTGCAGACAAACTTTTAAATAGAAAAAAATTTTTTTCCTATTTTAATTATTATTTGTTTCTAGCACCTACTAAAAAGGGAAGGAAGCGAAAGGCACAGAGGGAAGAGGAACAGTCAAGTAAAACTCAAAGGATGCTTACCTCTAAGGAAGTAAGTATTTTGATTCTTAAGACCCAAGTATAACAAGTAGAGAGAATTCTGGTTCTCAAGGCTCCGTCTTTCTGAAACAAGGATGGTCTTGGAGCTGAGTCCAGGAAGCTCAATCTTCAGTGACTTGGGGGGCCGGCACTTAATTAGGATTAAGAGGAGTCCTGCTGGGTAGAAATTCTTTTTTTTTTTTTTTTTTTTTATTTTGTGTTTGTGTGTGTATGGCCAGCTCAGCCCACCAGGAGGCAGGGCTGGCTGGCATGTGGTGCTGGGGAATTGAACCGCGGGCCCTGTGCTTTGCTAAGCTTGTTCTAAGTAGGTGCTTTAGACCACTGAGCCATCTCACCAGCCCCTGGGTAGAAATTCTTGAGTCTATGTCTTTGACTCAGAAATTCCTCCTCACTGTCTTCTCAACTACAGCCTAGCATCTGAGAAAATGGGTTGTTTTGTGTGGTCCCAGGCCAGTGACACATGAGTGACAGAGCTATCTAGGCAAGCTGATCTTGGTCCTTTGTGACAGCTATACAGAGCTGCAGTGGGCCCTCTCAGGAGGAGAAATTTGTTGGGAATATTGCAGAAAGCATCCACACATTGGATAAGAAGCTGTAACTGAGTTGTTAGTCACTGAACAGGTGTCTGAAGGAGTCTCTCCCCCTTAGCTCTGCTTCCAGTATCTGGAGGCTACACAGGAGGTAGAGGAGAGGTGAGAAACCGCTCCTGTTTTACATCTTTCAGCTTTTGATTTTTGTTTGCTGTTTTTTTACAGCGAAGGCGAGCAGTTCGGCAGCAGCAGTCCAAAAAAGTTGGTGTACGCTACTATGAAACACACAATGTGAAAAATAGGAACCGGAACAAGAAGACGACCAATGACTCAGAAGGACAAAAACACAAACAAAAAAAATTCAGACCTAAGTAGTAACATCTAAATAGCTATTTATTAAATTACATCAAAATGTACAATTAGAAATTGTGTTGTTTTCATAATGCCCAGGTGGCATTTTTAAAGCCATAATGTGTGTGTTCTGAGATTTAATAGCTGAAGCCATTCACCAGTGGAAGTGAAAATACAGAGAAAGAACCTCAGCCCTAAAGAGTTCCTTGCCACTGCAGACAGCTGGCCTTTAGTTCCTCCAGAGTGTAGCTCTGGGGTGTGTGTGTGTGTGTGTGAATTGATAGAAATGGGAAATGAAGTCTACAGAATGCAGAGTGGTATTTTATACTGAGAAGTAGCAATTTGGGACAGAACTGTAAAAAGTGGTTTAAGGATACTAGTGTACATGGCTAGGCATGAAGTAGGAAAAGCTTCAGCTTCCTTTTTTTGGGGGGGGCAGGGGGGAACTAGGGATTGAACTCAGGCCCTTGCACTTACCAGGGAAGTGCTTATTCCACTGAGCCATCTCCCCAGCCCTCAGCTTCAGCAACTTCTGTCCCTCACTGAGCTGAAGGGGACCCACTTTGACACAAGTATTTTACTGTCAAATCATGGAACCAGCAGATCTAAAAAAAAAAAAAATTCTTCCTCTGAAAGCTTCAGAGTCCCCAGGACAGTTGGTCAAAGCTGCAACTCCCAGTTTAAGATAGAGTGTGTTTCACTTGAAATACAGTTTTTGTAGGATGGTTCTGGAGTAACAGCCTGGAAGCCTTGTCCAGGACCAGTGTCACATTAAAATCCTGCCAAAGAGGGAGTCCCTGTTCCTCTTAGGGGATACTGAGCATTCCAGGCAGTCTACACTAATGGAAATGTTAGTGCACTCTTAGGAGCAGTACTTGTGGAACGTAACTGAATAGTGGATAGCCCAGCTTGCTGCTCTAGCCCACCCTGGTCTGCCCTGAGTTAAGATTTTATGTTGCTAATTCAATCTTAGGACTCTACAAAAGTCTAGGTTGTAGCTGATCATTAAAAATTAGAACTGCATGCGAGATGCTAACTCTCCAGTGGCTAATTAAACTTGGCTAATTAGGAGGGTGTGATCGGGGTTTGATTTTCTGCAGAATAAAGAGAACAAATGATGTCTGTTGGGGGAGGAGCTGAGGTACAGACAGCTCCAAAGGATACTGGGACTTGTACTCCTTTCCAGCAAGCATTTACTTTCCCCAAAGCGATGGTTTAATTGTGTGCCACTGTTTCCTAATCTAGGCAAGAGAAAGGGATTCATTTGACAGCAGGGGATAAGATGACACGTTATAAAACCATAGCTCCAAGAAGATTTACTAAAAATTGCATTTGAGTAGGTACAACAGTGAAAGGACTGAGGCCAAGGAAGCCCAGGTTAAGGTGTGAGATAGACTGAAGCAAGAACTGAGACAGAGCAGCTGCTTTGGCCAGAAGTGGATGGCTCTGACTCCTGGTGGGAAAGAGCTGCTGCTTAAGGTCTGAGTTGGCATGTCTCCGGCTTGACCCTGAAGCAGCATACGGATTGGGTTACAGTCTCTTCCATTGCCCAGCCAGGAGCCTGGCCACCAGACTAGGTGTTTCCTGGGGCCACTGTAATTCCTGACCAATTGGTGACTGGGGGAGGGTCGCCTTGTCCATTGAGGGAACCAGCTGTTTATTTAAAGGGGCTTATGATGGGGTGGAAGTGCTCACTGAGACTCATGGAAGTCATCACTTTTTTGGTGCAATAATGCCTTCCAGTTGGGCCTGAAAAACAAAAACAAACTCCCATTAATGCCTGAAACTTACAACCTAACAAATAGCTGAGAGGTGATAAAAGTGTGGAAGAATAATTCAAATGCTGCCACTCCAAGTGTTCTCATTTTCATCATTATCAATTCCATATTTTCTGTTAGCTGATTTCTGGCTTGGCATGCAGTGTTTGCTACATTAGGAGAAACCAGAACTGTTCTGGTTTCCATACAGTAATCAGTGTATAATACAAAATGTTGAAAAGGAAATTGAATAAAAGTTGATGAAATGGTAGTTTTTCATTGCTCAGACTTCAGGTCTGAATACTTCTGGGTTAGGATCCTGGAAGCACTGCTGGGACCAGAGGTTTGGAAGAAAGCAAATTATCAGCCACTGAGGCAGCTTGACACCCAATTAAAGAAAATTGCTACCAATAAGTAGGGAGCTGTCTGTCTTTCTGGAAAGCTTAAGAGACTTGGGAAGTTGTTCACTGTGCTTCTCTGGCAGCCAGTACAGTGATTTGCTATCACAGTCTCTGGACAGATCTGTATGTAAATAGGTCTGTTCTGGGGAGTGCAAGAAGTTGCTTTGTGCCAATAAGAATAGCTCATTTCTAAGCAATCCACCCTGGAGATTATAAGGCTGCTTTTGAACATCAGAAAGGTGCTAAAGTACTCCGTTTTGCTCTTACTTCTAACTACTGCAGGGAGAACTAAGGAAACTGGGGTAGGGGCAGGGGAGATGGCTCAGTAGGATAAGCACTTGACTGGCAAATGCAAGAATCTGAGTTCAATCCCCGGTTCTGCAAAAAAAAAAAAAAAAGGAACCTGGGCTTACGACAAAGGGTTATAGTAAGGAAGTAGCCCCAGAGGATGCCAAGTAAATGCAGACATCAGCAAGCCTGTGTTGCCAGAGATTGAACCCAGGTCCTTGTGCTTGCCTAAACAAGCGCTTAGTCCTCTGAGCTGTCTTACTGGCCCTCATTTTGTTAAGCTCTTCATCAACAAGAAAATCTTTGTCATCTACTGGTGGTTAACATAGAGCACTCTTTGTTGCAAAGAAATGGCCTTTGGTGTGCAGACCCAACATGTCTGCCAATCTTAAGAGCGGAGGGCCAGGGAGGTAGCTCAGTGGCATAAGTGCCTGTCTGGTAAGCGCAAGGTCCTGAGTTCCATCCCCAGTACCAAAAAAAAAAAAAAAAAAAAAACTTGCACTAAGACTAGGCATCAGGGCAGGGCCATGGGAGAAAGCTGTTCCATGTCCATAGGTCATATATGTAGAAGAGTAATGTTCAAACCTCAACAAGCCCCAGAATCTTCTGGGACTTTGCCATCAAGATGGATTGTGGAGTATGAAGGCCCTTGGTCCAATCCCCAGTATTGGAGGAAAAAAAGATGGAGCACAAAATATCAGCTACACAGATCCTGTTCAATAGATTGAGGATGGGCCAATACTTTTTTTTCTGATAGGGCCTTACTATATAACCTAGGCTGGCCTCAAACTTGCAGTCCTCTTGACTGAATCTCTGGAATGCTGGGATTACAGGTGTGCCCCACCTCACCCAGCTTCAATAATGTATTCTCAAAGTTGCCCATGAGGAGGATGATGCTGGTCTGGGGCCTGACCTTTGTGAACCTCTGGCCTGACAAAGAATGGAATTGCAGAGGGCTGTGGCCTGGCCTCTCCCTGGCACAGCCTTTTTCCCTTCAGCTTCTCCCTCTAACTCATGGACAGAAGCATGCCACCAGCAACTAGGCTCTGAGGAAAACCACAACACATGGAGGAAGTCTCCAATTTCAAATCCTTCCTCTCAACCCCCTTCACTGCTCACCCACTGACTGTCCCAGACACAGCAGCTCAGTGGAGATGGGGAGAAACACTTCTGCCAATGCATGCAGGGGAGATCATCCCCATGGAGAAAGGCTCCAATGCCCAGCTCTGAAGGAAAGCAGCTTCAGTTTCTGAATATATTTTCTCTGAGGACAAGCACCTTTTCAGGAAGGAAAACTTCCTTCACTGCTAAGATTTCATGGAACAACAGAATTGAGAATGGCCCATGCCCCAGGAATAGAGGAATGGAGAACCTTCACCTGCTCCCAAAGTTGGCCTCCTGTACCCCTTCACAGTGCATGTAGCTCTCTCTCTCTCTCTCTCTCTCTCTCTCTCTCTCTCTCTCTCTCTCTCTCTCTCTCTTTCAGAAGTAGGATTGAACTCAGGCCCTTGCACTTGCCAGGGAAGTGCTTATTCTACTGAGTCATCTCCCTGGCCCCACGTGTAGGTCATTTAAAAGCCATCAGTGGAAAAGTAATGAACAGTCTAGCCTGTGAAGCTGTGGCTGGGCCAGGGCACAGGGCCGGCACTTCCATTACCTTCAACTGCTGATTTGTCCGTTTTAAGAACTGAATCTCCTCATTGTGCTTCTTTTCCTCCACCTGTCGCCTCTCCGTCTCCCTCTTCTCGGTGGCCTCACATTTTGCCTTCTGCTCATTCACTTGCCTCTCCAGATCTTTCTTTTCTGTCTCCAAATCTGCAATCTGAGGACACAATGCCCCATCATCCTGGGATGTCACCAGGTGGATTGGTATAAGGGGCTTAGGAAACAGCTATCCAACCTGGTGTTGCCAGGGTTTGTACTGCCACCCAGTGGGAGATCAGTGACTGGCATGGAGCTTCCTTAGTGGACAACCAGGCCAAGACCACCATGCTGGCTGTTAATGACCTCAGGAGCCCCAAGGGAGTAGACCAGAGCTGGAGCCACAAATGCAAAACGGGTACTCTAGGGGCCAGAGTTTTTGGGGTTTTTGTTGTTGTTGTTTTGGCAGAGCCGAGGATTGAACTCAGGTCCTTGCACTTGCCAGGCAAGTGCTTATTCTACTGAGCTATCTCCCTGGCCCCCTAGGGGCCAGAATGGAGTGTTGCAGTGACAAGTATGTGGTTCTGAGATTGACAGAAGTGCCTCAGAGGGCCAAAGGGCCCTGGTAAATCCCACTCACTTTCCTCTCCATGTCTGACTTCCCCTGTTCGGCCTGCAGTGCCTTCCTCATGCCAAATGCCACACTGCTCTCATACAAAGTCTGGTAGGCAGCGATGGTCATGCGGATCTCATCCCGGACGCGCAGCAGCAGTAGCCCCCTCTCTGCACAGTTGATGGTGACCTCCCGGATCAGTTCATCTTCCAATATGCGCATCACAGGATCAGAGAAGGCAGAGACAGGGCACATACACTTTGTCTCTGGAAAACCACCCTTCCTCTTGGGAAGGACTCCAGGTTGTGCTCTTACTTGAACAGATTTGGGGCTGGGACCTTCAGGATATAGAGCTTATGACCTCTTCCCTCCATAGATACCAATGTGGAGGGCAAACCCAATCATACTGAGATTGCAGGGCACCTAGTTTGGAAGAGGGTTGCAGCTCAGGGTCCCTAGGGCCAATGAGGCAGGTTTAGAGGACAGCCACTTGACACCAGCACTCCAGGAGGCAGATTTTAAATTCATCTGTCAACTACAAATCACTACCACAAATCTACTACAAATCACTCTGCAATATATTTCTGGACCAAGAGCTGAACGTTGATAGGTATAAATAAACATAGAACATTAATTTTTCTAATTAAAAGTATTTTCTAATTAAAATACTTTTCTAGTTATGTGTTTATTATAAAATACCTTGGGAAAAAAGTCTTGAGTTGGAAGGTCTTATCTTCTCTCAAACATCCGCTCAGGGCTACGGATTTCAGGCTGTCAGAATTAGTGACTGCTAGGTTGGGGACTGGGAGTGAAACAGGACTTAAAAAGCAATCCCCCTCAACCTGCTCCTGTTCCTCCCCTGTAGCGGTAACTTCTTTTCTGGTACAGATAAGATTGGCAATTATGTTCTATAAACACAATTTATGCCATCTTGTTCTTGTAGGACTCATAAGGCTCTGTCTTCTTTCAAGACTAAGTAATTAACTTCTTCGTCTTGCTTCTGCACCCTTGCTGCCGCCACCACCTCCACCAGTTTCTAAAGATCAATCCCCTCAGCCAAATGTATAAAACCAGAATCTTTCCTTTATGCTAACACCCAGCACTTTGGACCCAAGTTTGTCAGGGTTGATGTGCACCTAAAATCCTGGAAATAAACCCTCCATTTTCCCCATTGGTCTCTGATCTCTTGGATTCTGTAAGAGTGGGAGAGGCAGGGATGGAAGTGGTGGGGGTGTGTAGTAATTGGGTGAGTCAGGCTGAGGGAAAAAACTGCTTCCAGGATGGGGTGGGCTTCCACCCAGTGGTGCTCAGAACTTGGACTAGCACTGAAGGGGTAGGGAAGAAGCCAGGAGGGTGAATGGTGCCCACCCCCTTTTAGCCCACTCACCAAAACACTGTGAGTAGAGCTCCCTCCGCACAGGGCAGATGCCTGTCTCCCTGGCCTGCCGCTGCTGCAGTTTCAGGTCCAGCTGCTCCTGAAGGTGGACCACGTCCATCCTGGTGCTGGGGGTGCTGGACACCTGCTGGATCCATAGCTGTGTGTCTTCCACCCACTCCCTGTGGTACAGACACAGCCAGGCTGAGTGGACCCCATACCCTTTGAGCTCCCAGAATGAACAGGAGCAAGAGATCGCTATGCTACCACCTCGCAGAATCCCCATCTCTCTCTTTTCCTTGGAATGTGGGTTCCAAAGTCATGCCCAGAGGCCAGGGAGATGGCTCAGTGGAATGAATGCTTCCCTGGAAAGCCCAAGGGCCTGAGTTTAATCCCCAGTTCTGCCCCCCCCCCCAAAAAAAGCCATGCCCACTGTGCTGCCTCCATAGAGACCCTACTTCAGGGATGGGTAGTGGGTGGTCTCCACTCTCCAAGCCTCCTCTGTGAAACCACCCACTGTTCCAGCTCTTACCCTCCTAACAGGTATGTGGTCATTCTGCTTGATCTGAGCAGAAGGGCCAGCGGGAAATCCCACCAATTTATGGGGTGGAGATACATGGCACCATGAACTCTATTTAAGTCAGAAAGAGGTCAGTGTGTGTGTTGAGGCTGGGAAGATTCTTGAAGGCAGGGTACTTGTGTGGGTTCTCCATAATGAATCCTGTATTGGAGTCACAGCAAGCCCTGGAATGGCAACAGGGAGTTTGAGGACAGAACCTCCATAGGGTAGAGGGCTTCTGAGTCATTGATGGGAAGGAAACAACTGACAAAGAAGGAAACAACTGACAAAGCCCTCAGCCCCTAACCTCCACCTCTGAGATCACAGTCTCCCATTTTCTGCCTGTTTCCCCTTTTTATCACAGCCTTAAAAAAAACAAAAAACCAAAACTGCCCAGCTAGGCATAATGGCATATGCCTGTAACCCCACAACTCTGGGAAGTGGAGGCAGGAGGATCACAAGTCTAAGTTCAGCCTGGGCAACTTAGCAACTTGGCAAGATCTGGCCTCAAAATAAAATATAAAAGGGACTGAGGGCTCAGTGTGAAGACCTGGGTTTAATCCTCAGTACCAAAGCTGTGGAAGCTATGCTCCAGACTTAATACATAAAAACAGTTGAGGGCCAGGGAGATAGCTCAGTAGAATAAGTGCTTGCTTGGCAAGTGCAAGGTCCTGAGTTCAATCCCTGATCCCATAAAAAAAAAAAAAAAAAAGTTGAAAGGGCACATCCATGATGTGGGTGCAGAAGAAAAAAGCTAGGTAAAGGGAATCACACTGAAGAGGAAGGTTCTTTTTTTTTTTTTATGTATTTAGTACAGGATCTACAGGGTCTCACTACATAGATCAGACTCGCAGTGATCCTCCTGTTTTCAACCTCCCAAAGCGCTGGGATTACAGGCACACAGTACCATGTCCAGGCTAGGTAGGTTCTTTTATACAAGATTCTTAAAGAAGGCCTCGGGCTGGTGAGATGGCTCAGTGGTCTAAAGCACCCACTTAGAACAAACTAAGCCAAGCACAGGGACTGCGGTTCGATCCCCCAGCACCACATGCCAGCCAGCCCCGCCCCCTGGTGGGCTGAGCTGGCCACACACACACACTAAATAAATAAATAAAATAAAAAAAATTTAAAAGAGGATACCATGTTTCCTAGACGACCACTAAGGTGGGAAGATGCTTTAGGGTCTCTGGGAAAAGACTGGCATGCTCTGCCTTGATTAAGGAGCTGTGTGGAGAACAGATTGCTTAAGCAGAGTGCAAGCATTGTTTTCAGACAGGAGGCCACATCTAAGAGTGTAGGTGGCAGTGGGTGGACAGGAGTGTAGGAGCAATGTGGCAGTGGCTGAGGTATGAAGAGTGGTTGGATTTGGGAGATAATTTGAAGGTGGAGTCAAAAGCATTTGTTAAAGGAGAGGACGCATGCTGAGACAGACCAACAGCAAGCAAAGAAGGACAGTCTGAGTCCCAAGTGGGGAGAAGTCTAGAATGAGTTGGTTGCAGGAGGAGGAGATTATGGCACAAGTTGGACATATTAGGGTTGAGCTGTCTATTAGACATCTTGGTGAAGACACCAAGGAGGCAGGAGACTGTACGACTAGACTAACATTCAGGAGAGGAGAGTGCTAGAAATATACATTTGGGAACCATCAGCACATAGACGGCATCTAAGGCCAAAGGACTGGCTGAGAAGACTTAGGAAATCAGAGTGGACTGAAGTGAAGTTTCCTGACTCCATCCCAGGACTTAGAATGATGAAAACTCTAGAAGCTATGGGTAACTGGGAAGAAGCCCCAGCCAGAATGAGAGGGCACAGTGTCTTCCCACAGTCCTCAGCTCGGGGATGAAAAGCCCCATGCCTTTCTCCAGGCCATTGGTCCTACTTTTTTTTTTTTTTTTTTACCTTGGGGGCAAGATGGCATTCAAGATTTCTTCTGCCTGCTTTGTAGGATCGGGAATACAGGCAGTTGAGGGCAGTCTGGCTTTGGGTGGCTGCGGGACTGTACTGGAGGGTCCAGGCTGCTGGGGGCTGACTTTCAGTGGCCGAGCCTGACAAAGGAAGATGAGGGCAAGAGACAAATCCGGTACTTGACTACACACATCCCGGCCCTCGGGATTGCTTCAAGTCCCCTGCACATCCCTCCCCATTCCCACACAACTTTCCCCATCTGTGTGCTCAGTGGAAAAGTCTCAGCAGAAAGAAGCCATGAGGAATCACCGGTCCCAACCTGAAGCCTGAATGTTTGTTTCCGGGTGAATGGTCAGGCCTCTGCTCCCCGTCTTCAGTGATGGGGAAATCTCTGCCTGATCCTGGACCTGGATGCCATGAGTAACAGCAAGCTCCATCCATCTCCGTGTGACTCCTTTCCCATCCTAAATCTATCTTGGTCACACTCAACATCTGAGCTTCTTGTAAACTCTCCCACCCTCCCTCCTTGTCCCAATTTCTTTTACTGGCAGTAGTTGCAATCCCTGTCCTTTGGGATTTCTGATCCTCAGGAGTGGGGATCTGTGTTTCCCCAAGTGGAGCTTCCGGGCTTCCCCATCCCCTGGGACCAGTCCTTACCTTGGGGCTCCGTTTTTCAGTGTTCCGGCTCACTAATACGGGCGTGTCGTACTTGAGCAGAGAGTCTGCGGGGGGGATCATGGCGCTGTAGAGTTGGCAGCTCAGAAGCTACCCCTCTAATCCTGGCCTTGTTTGTCATCACCATGGAAACCCTGGCTGGGGCGGGGCT